AAAAAAAAAAAAAAAAACTAATCAAAACTCAAATTTAACTCAACTTTAACCCAACTCCAACATCTCCTATATTATCAATATAATTAAATAATATCAACCAATCATTCAACTAATCATTCTTACGCAACACATCAACTTTAATTCACTATTCATCCACTCACATATTTTTAACTAACCATCACTACCAATCATTTTTCTCTTACTTTTACATCATATCAACTTTAATTATTTTATTTTAAATATTATTTTAATATATCCACTAACAACTAATCATACCAACTTTTTTCAAAATTATTTATAGTTAAAGAAAAACCAATTAATTTCTAGATGAATTCATAAATAATCACCCCCTGAGTTTCCTCTCTAACTTCCTACTTTGAAAACTATGAAGGGACATCAAACAAAGCAGCACAACCGAATGAACGAGCAGCCACACCAGAAAGCCATTAAAATATGACGTCATAAACGTACAAAATCCAAAATGCGCCATGCATCTAATGTCAGGACTATAGGTGAACCATAAAAACAAATAATAATGAAAAATCAAATTCAAAACACGAGGCTACTTTTACTGGGATCGTGACATTTACTCCATGAAGGAGGCAAATCGATAAAAACATAGTACCCCAGATAACAAAGTATAAATCATGTGCATACATTGGCCCAAGGGAATTAGATGGTGAGCTTCTCTTCTGTCTTCACTGCTCGGAGGTATCAAATAACGCGCTTCCCCTCAAACATGAACCAACCTATAGGGAACTCCTCTAGACGCAAAGAATGTACAAAACACCATCCGAAATCCCAGGCAGAATATACAATGCTCCTATAGCCCAACAGATATATGCCCACATTCTCCCAGGGCAGTGAAGACAGTTTGCACATTCAATCTCCAGTTGGAATGAATCAAGCCAAGTATTTGAACAGGTTAGGGTTGTCCTTGTCCCTCTCCAAATAGTCACGGGTTATCAAATCCTCAATCCTCTTCTTAATAGCTTTAACATCGGGCTACAGGAGTAGATCATGTTTCAGCATATATTCGCATACGAATATGGTGAAATGCAAAAAATAAAAAAAAAAATAATAAAAAATAAAAAAATTGAAAAGACAAAATATATATCCCAAAAGTTAATACTACCTTGAACATACGGCCCAATTGTTCCATGCACTCAGCAACTAACTGCTGGTAGCCTAAGACCTTCCTGCTCTTCATGATACGCACGATCGAGGCATCAATGGCATACCGCCTGTCCTTGTCAACATCCTCTATTACCTTCTTTTTCTCATCCACTGGGGGCAATGGGATCTACGTTGCCAAAATTAAAATTTATTGAACGAAATCCAACAAAGGGTAAATCGGATATTTTCTTAAGTAATGAAGTTATAAGTGAATTATCACTCTCTCACATATATACACAGAACAATACCCAAAAAACATAAAAGGAAATGAAAAGGGGGCATTGCAAGTAAATTGGAAAAGAGATAGAGGCGAGAGTGATGATACCCTTATCCTTCTCATCTTGTCAGTGAACTTGGAATTGAATTCAAAAACATCAGTTGGAGAAATTGTTCGGGTGCTGGGCTCCTTGTTCAGAATCTTGTGCTTGGCACATGAAAGAGAATGCAGCAGACGGATAACATCATCATCAGGTAAGTTCAACTGAGACATGATTTCCTGATAGCTTAATTTGTCCGAGGTGTTGAACAGCATCAAGACGGCAGCCTGGACAAATAAAATTTAATAGCTAAGACAACTAAGAAGACCAACGATAGAGATCAAGGCAATATATGAGATAAACATTACCTGATAGGTGGACACATTCAGCTCTATTGTTTTCTGGTCAAATTTTCCATTGACAATACAAGTTCCCAAAGAATATATGAATGTAAGCTTTCTGTGCTTTGTTTTTGTCTGGTAGAACTCCCTAAATACCTCAACACACTTAACCTGGAACAGAAGTTTCAAAAAAGTATGGAGAAAATAAAAATTCAATGATATGATTGCTATTGAAACAAAACAGCATTTCCCAAAGTACAAGCATATATACCATCTCCGCAGATAGGTTAAGGTCATAAGTCTTGTAAGTTGGCCAGAATCCCGTGGTGAGGACAGTCACTGTCAAGTCAAAGCCTGGACTAGCATGTGGATTATTGCTGAGATATTCTTCAAAGCTTACTTGATTTTCCCTAGCTAGTGCCAGATCTGTGACCTGCAATATTTGAAGCAGATGAGCAATCAACATTGCAGTACAAGATATCACAAAGAATGAGGATGAGTAAATTTATACGATCAGGCTCACCATCCCCTCCATTTTTGAGGTAAACTGGGCACCACATTGCTGCTTCAATTTTGTCAGGATACTTCTTTCATGTTCGTCATTAGCACTTTTATCAAACAACAGGCGGCGTGAAAGCTTCTTCCTGCCAAAACACAAACCAGTAAAAGCATTACACAGAGTCCAATGATTTAACATAAAAGCAAATAAACAAATCACCAAATAGGGAACTCACCTGTAAAATTCGGCAAATAAATCCTTGTCACTGATGTAAGCGAGAAGCTTAACTACCTGAAATAATGTTTCAATCATATTATTTAAACAAGTTACAGTCAAAAAGTATAAATGCAGACTGCAATGTCCATAAGAAAATACCTTCTCCAGAGTGTCTTCAATAGCTTCATCGCTCAATTTTTCGCTTCCACCCTTCTTAAGAATGTTATCGCAAAACGTCGCAAGAAGATCGGCGCTGGAATTTCCAGCAACACCCTTGTTGCAGAAGATTTCAAAAGCTTCCTTAAGAGCCTATGTAAATAGGTGAAGAAAATTGGCACGTCACTTTCTACTGGAGCACACAAAAAGTTGACATTAAGCCAAAGATAGTCTCCTAACCTTGTGAAATAGAGTGTGATTTACGAAGCAGTCATTTACATATGCCATGTATTTGTCATGGAGCTCAATAACTTTCCTCACAAATACCTGGCAGTTAAAACATGAATTAAGTCCAGATGTGAAACCATATTCAATATAAAAAAAAAAAAACTAATATGATACCTGCTCCTGTAACCCGATGACATCTTTCTTTTCAGCCTGCACAAGAAGCCTCTTCATATTAACGACACAAAGAATGGACCAAAATACTGACAGAAAGTGTTAACATGATATTCCATGGCTAATTATTATCCAAATTTTTCAGTGTGCTGTCCACCATGGCAATGCTTTGCCATATTTAATCATTAGCATCATGTGTTCTTAACTACATACATGAAAAGGAATTTTTTTTTT